TGGAAAGCTGAAAAATGATAAAATCTATTGCTTTGATATCCAGTCAAGAACAGCATTAAACCGTTAAGGAATATGTCCAGTCAGTTTGGGGAAATGCCACATTATGTCCGCGACAAGTGTCTAGGTTCTTCATATTTATATACGGCGGCCTATGATACAGAACAAGTGGAAAATGTCTGGATTGCTTTGTTGAATTTTCCTTACGCTAATAAAAATAAAAATAACGATTTTATTTTTATATTTGGGTGTCTGCCTCTGTCGGACGGTTTAACACTGTAGCACCAACAAATGTTCTGCGCAGCCTCCAGGTACAAATTTCTAGACTTCTATATTTCGTGCTTTTAAACCTAACACATTGAATGATTTTATTGTAAATTCTATCGTTCTTGGGATATAACGATTTTCCCATTAAGTTGTGTACGCAAATTTCGAAATAGTCGACGGTCGCGATCACATCATTGATGGACGTGCTTCTTTGTCAGGTAATCTCCAATTTCCAAAATCAAAAATATAACTAACATCACGAGTTTAATCTCTTTATCTCCGGACGCTATGATTTTCCGACTCCGGGATCGGGAAACTTTGCTGTGCCTTTTCTCCGGTTCTACGAAGCCAACAAGGACAAAACTACTATCTTTCGATTCAATAGTAACGTCCGTATATAAGTCTCATACATTACTCCCCCATGCCAATCAGGGGGAGGTAATCTAAGGTTTATGGTAAATCAAACTCAAACCAATCTTTCGAACATCAGGAGAGCATCTCTTCCATATCCCAGCAGCTGTTTTACTCATTGCAGTCTGATCTGCATCTGGTAAACTGTCCTCAATCTTTTTCAACCGGTCTCCCTGTAACTCATTGAACAGGTGCAATATGTCTTTGCAGGTTCATATCTTCTTCAGTCCGGTGCATGCCATGGTAAACCAAACTCAAACCAACCTTTCGAGGAGAGCATCTCTTCCATATCCCAGCAGCTGTTTTACTCATTGCAGTCTGATCTGCGTCTGGTAAACTGTCCTTAATCTTTCTCAACCAGTCCTGTATCGCATTGCACCGGTGCAATACGACCTTTGCAGGTTCATATCTTCTTCGGTTCGGTGCATGCTATAAGACGAAAATACCACCACTCGATTCAGGGAAAATTTATCTCCTAATTCCTGTCGATAGTTTTAGTCAATATCAAACTTGTAGCGATTTATGTCTTTGGGAGTCAAGCGAGGACGTATATTATCAAATTACTCAATTTTCTGAGAAAAATATGAACTAGCCGTAGTCCATACCTTTCGCCGAACATTACTTCGAGCCCTTGAAACGTATCTTCTTCGTAGTAGTCTTGTTCACATCATTAGAGTGTTATTTTTGAGCTTGCATCTTCTGATTTTCATCCTTTATTTCTGTATTTGAGTCTGTAGTGATGCGTCTGACCCATAAGTACAACTTTACTCGACGAAAACAATGAGTCTTGTATCCTACGAGTCTGGAAACACCGGAAATCAATTCTAAACGTCAAAGGACCCCCATGCGCGGCTACGAACAAGCTTGAGGAACAATCTTTACTTCCACGTGATCTTATCTCGTTCTGAGATGATTTTCTATATCTTATTCAAACTATTTTACGACACCAACATTAAAATACGATTACAATTTCTATAGCGCAAATTTACATGTGGATAAGATCAAATTCGCTTTACATCAAGTATTACGCTTACCTAATTACACACTTAGTCTAGACTATTTTATCTTTACAACAATTGTGATATTACTTTCTTAACTGTATTATCCTAACCCACCCTGTCAACTTTCATCTTTTCAAAAATTTGAAACCTTATATTATCATACCGCGCGAAATCTTTACTGGCATCGACTTGGTGTAAGATGTCACCAAATGGTTCCATGCGCTAATTACCGCTGGGGTAATCTGGGAACGAGATTTATGATGTGTTCGACTATCAATGATGTGCTCGACCGTCGACGGTTTCGAAATTTGCCACGGCTACGCGTTGTTATAATAACAAATATTCTGCGCGGCCTCCAGAGAAAATCGGACAAGCCAAAACTGTCTCCATTATATTATTCCATTCATTTAACCTTAATCAAGAATGGCAATGAGTATTTTTTCGACTGCTTAAGCCAATTCTGGCATTCCGATTTAAATTATTGCGGTTTTATAAAAATCATCTGTCTGGCTCTACTATGAAAGCAGAGCCATTTATCTTATCGTCCAAATAACATTAGAAATTTCAACCCCCGATTTGACGTCATATTGGCTGACAAATCGGGCAGAGACTTTCGCTAACTTTCTCGTTTTCCCTCCCTTCTCTCCCGCGCCTGCACACCTAATTTTAGCGGTTACTTTCACCTTTCTTATCTTCTAGCGCGATTACGAAATTCTTTCTGAATTAGTCCTTTAAAAGCCTCTGCGAAGGAAAGAGTAGCAATACTCACTAACAAAATGAAAGACTTTTTTCACGTTTTCGTACAATTCATAGACCTTTCAAAGACCCTACATTCAAATTTAAAGACTTTCGAGGATTTCAAAGACCGCTACGAACACTGCATGAGTTATACAATACACAGAGAGGTTGTCCGCCACTGTATTATACAAAGAGTAATTATTTTTGATCCGAAACTTATGCAAATTATTTTCTACTTGTGGTATACTAAATGTTATACAAAACGTAATTATACTTTCGACCCAAAACACACTTACTACTCGCCATCTACAGTTGAGTTCACTCCATATGGTTCACTCTTCGTCAGCCTTCCCAATCTTGCCGAAGTCAATACTCGCATACTCAGATTGTCCAGGGCGTTCTTCATCTCGTTTCTTTTTCGAATTATCTGAGTGCAGAGCGACTGTGTCAAGCGTTGCATATAACTGCAAAAGAAGAATAAGCCACTTTTGAGAACTTTTCTAGAGAGTTTAAAAGAAACCGTTGATGGAAATTGTCGAGTGTAAATTTTATATACATTTACTTAGACCTAACCAGCAACAGTTGCGAAAAATGCAACTATAGATCCCTGGTAGGAATCGAACCTGCGGCTCTGCGATTCCGGTGCAGCGCTTTAACCAACTGAGCTACAGAGTCCAGTTGTCGAGCTCTGACCACAAGTTCATGCATATATACCATAGGAAATAATAGATATAGAATGCGTACTCCTATCTTTTCTCAGTGAAAAATTTGTCTCCACAAAATGGCGGATTTATCGCTTCCCCCTAAATGGACAATACTACCCAGTCCCCTTAGCGGCAATTTTGCAGTACTGACGAGCTCCGTTTTCTGTGGATACAAAACAATAAGACTATTACACCCATTTGGGAAAATAATGGCTATGTGCGTGAGCACATGCCGATTTATTAATTAATCCAAAATGAATATTAATTTCCATAAATGACAATAACAGTTCTCACAGAAAAGGTGGGGGCATTCTCCCGCCACCTTGAACAAAACTAATCTAATAAGTGATCTGTAACAGCACGCAACGAAAGAAAATAGGGGAGGGAAGGGTGGGACTTTGGAAGAAAGTATGCAAGTGTTGCTCCTGACTGACTTCGGTAGAATAACCTAACCTTGACACTCGCGCCTTTTATACGCAGCATCAGAGTAAAATTCCCAAATGTAGCAACTTCTCCCCGTGATATTTGGTTGTATGCGTTACGTCATCATTTCATTAGCTATAGTAAATCTAACTATATATATATATTAGGGAAAGCAATAAAATTACTATTCGATGAACAAATAGTTCCTTTATCGCTTCCCCCTAAATGGACAATACTACCCAGTCCCCTTAGCGGCAATTTTGCAGTACTGACGAGCTCCGTTTTCTGTGGATACAAAACAATAAGACAATTACACCCATTTGGGAAAATAATGGCTATGTGCGTGAGCACATGCCGATTTATTAATTAATCCAAAATGAATATTAATTTCCATAAATGACAATAACAGTTCTCACAGAAAAGGTGGGGGCATTCTCCCGCCACAAGCCTCCTTGGGTAGGAGGCACCCCCACCCGAGCAGAACTGCAAAGAGCCAAACTAAACCTAACAAAGTAGGTGGTAAATCAACTGATAACGCTATCGAAATGCACATTTTAATAAATTGTTTTTACTTGCAATGCCAATTTAGTAAAAGTAAGGAACTGAACCGACCGTATACGCCTTGCCCCTGCGTCAGCAAAACGGCATGGAAACAGAACCTTACCACTAACGCGGATCAAATAGAAATGTGCGACTTAAAACCTGGTAAATAATACTTCGGCTACTTGGTCAACTATGCAGCCATATCGATCCCCATTCGCATAAGATTAACTTCTCAAACTACTCGTAGTTATGTTTGACATGCGAATGTACTTTCGGAATGCGTCAGATTTCCAACGCCCCATAACGCGAATCTGCGTATCTGAAAAACCACAGTCCGCTGCGAAAGTGGCAGCACCAATACGAAAGCTGTGACCTTTATATTTAGAGGAATCGAGGCCACAGCTACGGAAAACTAATGACAAAAATTCAGAAAAAGTTTTACGAGAGACAGCATGTCCATCTAATGTTTTAAAAAGTGGGCCATCAGAGAGCCCCCGATGCGAAAAATAATCCAGAAGGCTCTGCACCGGGCATATGTCCGTACGACGAGATAGTGTAATTGCAATACTCGGATGGTTATAGGAATGCTTAAAATCAACGAATTTAATCTTAAGGCCAACGATAGCGCCAGACGGATCCTCAAGCTTGACCACCTGTTTTACTTGAAGAACCGCTGGAGACCGGGGACAGTAAGTAATTTCCCCAACCCTTAAAAATGCAAAAAATGCCGTTGTACACATGGCCTTAAATAGAAAGGCATTGTAGACATTAGAACACAAAGATGGGATGACTTCGTTGATATTCAGAAGTATAGGTAATGTAATAGGAAGGCGGCTGTCAATGCGCAGACCCATTTTCCTGTAACCTTTCAACATTTCCATAACCCAAAACACCTTAGAAGGGTCAGGGAGCCCCATCAAACGATGACAATAGCCAAGTGCAGAGACATAGGTATTAGTAGTGGAGACCGCGTACTGATGTTGAAACATATAAGCAATAAACAAGCCTAGATTTGAGGGTGACAATGGCAACGAAATTGTTGCTGTGTTCATCACGGAATGGGAAAACTGAGAATAAAGTTTCCATGCACGTCGATAAGTAGGGACCGATGATGGCTGCAAACTTGACTGCAATAGATTGGAAGTTATAACTGCCAGTTGTGTGGCAGTAGATGTACTGGAATAATGGTCGGATTGGCCTGCATGCCCGCTGGTGCTATCTGCTTGAATCGGGAAACCTGCAAGCGGGATAACGCGTCAGCTAGACTATTCTTAACCCCTGGGACATGCTGGGCTCGAAAAAGAATATTAAATCGCAAGCACGCCAACACCAGCTGGCGGACAAAAATCATAACTGTTACATCGCGCGACGTTGCCCTATTAATAATATCGACCAATGCTGCATTGTCTGTGAAGAAAATAATACGCTGATTTCGCATCAAATGACCCCACATGAGCACACTCAAAACAATGGGATAAAATTCCAAAATAACAATATTTATATGTTTCCAATGCTCAGGCCATTCACCGAAACACCATAACTGACCAAATATAGCTCCAAAACCCAAGCTAGCTGCAGAATCGGTATACAAATTTAAATGGACAGAATTAGACCAGAAATCCCCCAGAAAAAACGATCGGCCATTGAAATCATCCAAAAATGATTTCCATATACGCAAATCCGCTTTGACAGATCTACTAAGCCGGATAAAATGAGACGCACACCATACGTCTTTGGTCAAATCTATAAGGCGACGCAAAAAAGCCCGCCCTGGCACAACAACAGAACAAGCAAAATTAAGAAGGCCAATTAATGACTGTACCTCCTTTAAAGTAGCTTTCTTGCGCTGTAGAAACATCGAAAGGAGGGCTTTGGATTTAGTTATTTTATCCGCTGGTAAACGTGCTTCAAATAATATAGTGTCTAATTCAATACCGGCAAATGTCAAAGTGGTTTGAGGATCGACAGTTTTTTCCGGAGCAATCGGAACACCAAGATACTCGCAAAGTGATAAAAAATTCTTCAAGTCAGTGCAACATTGGTCATATGATGAAGCTGCCATTAGGTAGTCATCAAGAATGTGGATAAGATGCGCAATATTCAAATGTGTCTGGG